GGGGTCGGGATACACCGAGTACACCTTGAGAGAAGTTCCTGATGGCACTTGGAAAACCATTCGGGGGCAAAATTTTTTGTTCAGAAATTAATCAGGGCCGACTATTTTTAGACCGAAATGGAGAAGGACGCGAAAGACTTCTACGAAAATGTGACGGCTACCAGAGACGTGCACCGATAATCCATCAACCGGGGAAACGACTACACTCGGTCCTATCCCCATGGCCATTTATGAAATAAGGGGATGAACATCGTCGGTCCCCTACCATGGGCACCCGGTAAAGTTCAATTCATACTACTCATGACTGACTATTTTTCCAAATGGGTCGAGGCCCAAGCATGCGAAAAGGAAAGAAGTCATTGACTTCATCTAGGACTACATAGTTTGTCGATTTGGGATACCGGCCTGTCACGACCCTAATACCAACCCAGTCGTGATAGAGCCTATCGTGAAACTAGGCCAGCCAACACAACTCCCAAATTAACCATTAATCAATAAGAATCATTTTTAAGACTTTAATTAAACAAATATTTCATAATGTAAGTCTAAATGAACAGTGCAGAAATAATATACAAGCCCGACATTGGGGGTGTCACAAGTCACGAGCATCTACTAAGGTCTAAATACAATGAAAAGTCTGAAAATGTACTAAATATAGTCTAATGAAAACAAGAGAGAGAAAAGAAAATGTTGCGAATGCTTGGCAGCTACCTTGCTAAACTTCGATAACTCTGCCTCTGAGCAATCAACACCCGCTACTGGGTTCAAAAATGCCTGAATTTGCACACAAGGTGCAGGGAGTAATGTGAGTACTCCAACTCAGTAAGTAATTAAGGTAAATGAAAGCTGAGCAGTAAGAAAACACGTAAACCACATCAAAATTCTACAACAAAGGCAAGATAGTTCCAACATAGTACAGAAATCATAAACTTCATAAATCATGCTTAGTTCCGGTAAAAACCTTTTAAAACAAATTTTCAATAGTTTCAAACAAGTGATAAAACAGTGATTAAACATGATAGAAATGTAAGCAGCCCCTTAGTCAAAATATGTATCATAAATCTCCTCTCGGCCATAATATCAACAGAACCAGCCCTTCGGGCTACCTCACAATCACTCGTAATCAGCCCCTCGGGCATAACATAAATCAAGAACTGCCCCTCGGGCAATAACATGGAACAATATCAGCCCCTTGAGCATAAAATAAATCAAGAACTGCCCCTCGGGCAATAGCATGGAACAACATCAGCTCCTCGGGCTATATTACATATCACATTGGTTACCCGCGCTCACTATGGGTGTACAGACTCCGAGAGGGGCCTCTTACGACCCAAGCGCAATATCAAGCCATCTCGTGGCATAATCAAATAGGTTCTCGGCCTCATAACATGCCACCTCGTGGCGTAACAAATCAGGCCCTCGGCCTTATAATCATAAATCGATACCACACTACTGTGGCGCGCAGACCGATCCCATAATATCCTCACAATACAGGCCCTCAGCCTTACTCAGTCAGAAATCTCTCAAGCCACTCGGGCAATAGTAACACATGATGCTCAGCCCAAAATATCATTTAAAATGTCAAAAATGAAGTAAAAATGGCTGAGTTATGAAAATAGTAGATTATAGCATGACTAAGTGTAAGTATAAAGTCAAAACAGTAAGGAATAATAGTAAAACAAATCCCCTCAGGGTTCAAAACAGTTGGCACGTGGCCCAAATATGACATTCAGCCCAAAACATGATGATAGCAAACAATTTTCGATCAAATACGCAGTAAAACAGTCATTCGGGATGGACTAAGTCTCAATCCCCAACAGTGTACGACCCCAAGCTCGTCATCTAGTGTGCACAACACCTCAATATAGTACAACAATGTAAAATCCGGGTTTCATAACCTCAGAACAACATTTACAATCATTACTTACCTCTATCCGATCTAAACTCTAGCTCGCAGTGCCTTTGCCTCTCGAATCAGTCTCCAATTGCTCCGAATCTAACCCAAATTAGTTCCACATCATTAATACACGCTAAAGGAACAAAGCCCAAGCAAAAATAATTGAATTAACTCAAAAATCCCGAAATTGGCCAAACCCGGTCCCCATGCCCATGTCTCGGAATCCGATAAAAGTCATATCAATAGAATCTTCATCCTCCCACGAGTCTATACATACGAAGAACATCAAAATCGGACCTCAAATAGCCCCTCAAATTCCCAATTTACACTCTCCAATTCAAGCCCTAATTCCCATATTTTAGGCTTTAATTTCCACATATTTCATGTTTAAACAAGTAAGAATCAACATAAGATCAAGTATTGAGTTCAAAAATCTTACCTCCAAGTGTTTCCCTTTGATTCCCTCTTTAATGCTTTTCAAAAGATCCAAAATCGCTCAAAAATGGTGAAAGTTAGACCCAAAATCGCGGACAATGGCTATTTAAACGTTCTGCCCAGGCCAAAAATTCCTTCTTCGCGAACGCGGTCAAAGTCTCGCGTTTGCGAAGCACAAAAAAATCACAGCTCAAATTTCCTCTTACGCGAACGCGAACACACCCTCGCGAACGCGATGCCTTACTCAGCTTAGCCTATACGAACGTGTTACCTCAGTCGCGAATGCGATGCTCAATCATACTCAACCTTCGTGAATGCGGGACCAACATCACGAACACGAAGGGCAACTGGCCTGCCTCACTCAACATCTATTCCGAACGCGTGAGCCTGTTGCGAACGCGAAGAGCAAAACTCTGCAACACTAATCTGAAGAAATCTGCAACTTTCAAAACAAGAATTTGATCCGTTTAACCACCCAAAACTCACCCGAGGCCCTCGGGACCTCAACAAAACATGCCAACATATCCCATAACCTCATTCAAACTTGTTCCAACCTTCGGAATGCTCAAAACAACATCAAAACACCAAAATCACATCATATTCAAGCCTAAGAATTCCAAGAATTTCCAAATTCCGCTTTCGATCAAAAAGTCTCCCAAACCTCGTTCGAATGACCTAAAATTTTGCACACACGTCACAAATGATACAACGGACCTACTCCAACTTCCAAAATTCCATTCTGACCCTTATATTAAAATCTCACCTATCAACCGGAAAACGCCAAAATTCCAATTTCGCCAATTCAAGCCTAACTCTATTCCGGACCTTCAAAACACATTCCGACCATGCTCCTAAGTCCCAAATCACCTAACAGAGATAACAAAATCATAAAAATTCCAATCTGAGGTCATCTACTAACAAGTCAAATCTTGGTCAAACCTTTCAAATTTTAAGCTTCAAATTGAGAGCTGTTCATCAAAATTCATTCTGGCTACCCTGAAAACTAAAACTGACGATTTACATAAGTCACAATACATCACATGTGGCTAGACATGCCTGAGAACTGGCGAGCAATGTGCAAAATTCAAAACGACCGATCGGGTCGTTACATCCTCCCCAACTTAAACATACGTTCATCCTCGAACGTGCCCATAGTTGTTCCAAAAGGCAACAAGTCGCTGTATAACCTTACCATGCAGATACCCAGGGGTGATCCCACGTCACCCTATCTCATATAGGTCCGATAACACAATGTAACTGAAATTTCACAATCCAACCTAGCCCATAAACCTTAGAACCACATTTCTACTTCTGAAACCATCTACAAGATTTGAATCTCACATTTATATTCTAGGTAAGCCTGAACCAACTGTAATAACCCATACCTGCAACCTCAAGTGCAATTACATGATGTACCACATAACTCAAACACTTATAGCGATAACTTCTAATCATAGTAGTTGCTTAAAATATTCGAATTTCGATAATAAGCTTTTTATCAGATAAAGCCTCATTCCAACACTTCCGTATACTTCTAATGATAAATGAAACACATAGGAAGTCATAACTAGTCCTTAGATCAACCATTCGGGAAGCCACTTCTCCTTTGTCAAGGACCATAGCAAATTTTTGAGTCGAACATCGATATTATCCCTCCAACATGCTAAAACTGAACCTGTTTATATTCATTCTACATCCTAACAATATCATCTAATACCAACACAACTATTCTGGTGACATGACACATCAATACAATCTAAAGCCACAACTTGTGAAATCGGTGCACCAATAAGCAACGATCTGAACGTACTCAAATCGTGAGAATGACTCAAATGAGAGAGTTATACTGCAAGCTCACCATTACCACCACACACAATACTGAGAACCTGTCACACATCATAGAACCAGAATACACGAATCTAACCCGAAGGGTCATACCTCCACATAACTTCGCTGTAGTATGCGACCTTATCCAAACACCGATCCACATGAAACACCTCCAGTCGCTATGCTCAAACTGACGATCATGCGCAATTAGATGTCTAGAACCAAAGAAAATCATCATAACCAATGCGAAGCAATTGACATAACATTACATAAACCTAAAAGGACACAACCGATACGCCATCCACCGAGCAATACCCAATACTCCTCCCGCTCAAATTCCACTGAGAGACCTCAAATAAAACTGCACCACATGTGCCTATAACCAACAATTCCTAATGCCTTGCAACACAGAAAGATAACTCATAGATCTCCCCAGGTCACTAATAAGCTCAATAACAATTGAATCAATACATCCCTCAACAATACAACTCGGAGTCAACCAAGCCGACTCGATGCCGAACACACATCCATATAGGTCTACCAATGAACCCCTTATCAAGGAGTTCTTGAAGCCGTTCCTTCAACTCCTTTAACTCCACCGGTGCCATACGCTACGGTGCCCGACATCAGATCAATACCAAAATCAACAACCCCGTCTGGCGACATGCTCGGTAGCAGGAAACACATCCGGAAAACCCCTCATCACCGGAACTGAATCAATGGTAGGAGTCTCTGCACTGACATCCACCACGAAGGCCAAATAAGAAAGACAACTCTTCCCAACCATCAACTGGGTCTTCAACAATGAAATCACCCTACTGAGAACATAACCTGTCGAACCTCACCACTCCATCCGTGGCATCCCCGGCATAGCCAATGTCGCCGTCTTGGCGTAATAGTCCACAATAACACGACACGGAGGCAACCAGTCTATACCCAATATCACATCAAAATATAACATACCAAGCCACAAAGGATCCACTCAGGTCTCCAAACCTCCAATAGTTACCACGCAAGATCGATATACGCGGTCCACAACTACGACCTACCCTGTTTATGAGAATTCCCAATCTCCAAATCCATATAGCACGCGAATCACCATATCCGATCCCAACTCCACCATCCGAATATACAACACACCTCTAATACCCAATCATTCCACGAGAGGTACTCCTAAAATTCTTATGTGCCACCAAGCAAACTTGAATATCAACAATCGATCCAACAAGAGAGTGCCGCAATACTAGTGAAGTATCATCAACTCAATCACATTGACCTTTTTCCGAAGCGTATACCCTCATCAAGCTACACCACTTAGTAATATCATTTCCCCAATCATCTGAAGCTGCCCGTGCTGTCTAAGAATTTATGACTTTTCCTTTCAGAACTGAACCATGACCTTACACATGCAAATTTCAACCCTACACAACATACTGCATATACCATGCCATCCTATGATAAATATAAGGACTTCATAACCCCTTCCGAGCCATAAGCAACTACATACTCAACTAGTCAAGAACTTTCCATTTGACCCCATCTAGAAGAAAATTACTATATATCACATGCTCCTCACGCTTGTAGAAAATATACATCTCTAACCGTGGTAGAAACCATTAAGAACTCTCCGAATTCCATTTGCACAAAACTAAACCATCAGGAATGAATCCTTCTAACTCGACCAAGCTACGCAGGCCACTAAAACCCAAGAACATTGCTGTGAAACACTTGTATAAACTCATTAACTCATAAGCATCCAAAGAACTAATCATATCCTTACCATGTCGATCCGGCTTACTACCAAGCTATCCCATCTATCCGTGTTTCCTTCTGATTTACCTTTAACTTGATACTCCTTCTTGCTATAACACCGCAATTCCTCAACCCAGACTCACCACACGAGACCCAAGCATAAAACCATACCGTCTAAGGCTCATAAGCCGCTGAATACTCTCTTAAATATTCCCAAAAGCACCACATCCAAAATACCTATCCTGACAAAACTTCCTATGAATCCAAAGTCATTACCTTCGCTTTCCTAATACGGATATATAGAATTCCCTAATTGGTATAGAAATACCACAAGTCTTAACACCCTCCAATGTAAACCTCAGTTTCTAACCAACTACACTACCTGAATATCTCCAATTATTACATGTAAAATCTTGAACCCATTAGAACCATTTCCGAAAGCCCTCCACTCTACTCAAACCGCAATTAGACCGATCAAACAGACCAGACAACCTGTTCTCCATTAACACTCCGACAACGTAGAATGTAACCTCACCTTAATGCAACCAAGCAACTTCTTGTTCTATGTACCATACACCCTTTACTCATAACAACTCAAGTCATTCTGTGATTCTTACATACCCATAAAGCATAACATAACCTTTATTGAAATTTCTTTACTCGATCCATCCTCGGTCTCAACCTCTGTAAGCCATAACTGATTCATTAGTATGCCTCAAACTGGAACCAACATAGAACATAACCATGCAATCAACTAATCAATAGCAGACTCCCCCACTTGGCTCAAAGTCATAGATCAAAACACACAATAAGTCATAATGCATATACTCTATTACTATCATAATACCATAGTGAGATTAAATTCAATCCTTCATAAGCTCGTGAAACACAGACCATCTAGTACTTTAAATCTTCTGCAATCCTTGCCTTCACCCTCATAACAGTCAAGCCCACTCTCTTAGGCGGCCCAAATTCAAATTGCAATACATATATTTCTCTAGTAATAGAGATCTTCCAATAAACGACATAAAAGATCACGCAAACTTCAGAACAATCCGTAGGAGATAGCCCACCTGCCTCGCCTCAAACTAACAACTCCTTATACCCTTCCGCTGTCATAAACATTACACAATTACTTAATCTTCCTGAGTCTGAATTCATATCACAACGTGAAATCCACTTCACTTCCCAACTAGGCAACATGAAAAGGTCCTTCAACACGCCCACAACTCGGGCTAAACATCAAATCACAATAGAAACCAAGCACCGAATAGTTCTTACTACCCCCAAGTAGACCCTTCTTGTCTCGTTCAAATCACATGCACACATCTCGCAGTAACATCATACTCATCACGTAGCTATCTATCCATCACTCCCACCAATAGGGACACTATCGGACATACAAATCCAAAAGCACATGCTCGCACAACCAACACCTCAGTGCTCAAACTATAGGCAAAACCCGGGCTCAAGTCCACCCGACTGGCCCAACATCAACACACAAAGATCACATCTCGCTCCTCGATCAGGTAATCCCAAGCCATCAATGCACATCTGATACTAAGTGCTCATGCGCATATACAAATGCATGGAAGGAATTCAAAGAGTTACATTTCAAGCTGAATCAAGGAAACACGATAAGAATTCAAGAATGTGAAGTTTTTCCTAAAGGTTCTGCAGCCTCCCGAGGATAAGTACAGATGTCTCCGTACCAATCCGCGAGACTCTACTAAACCTGCTCATGACTCGTGAGACCTATGTAACCTAGGCTCTGATACCAACTTATCACGACCCTAAAACCGACCCGGTCGTGATATCGCCTATCGTGAAACTAGGCCAGCCCACACAACTCCCAAATTAACTATTAATCAATAAGAATTGTTTTTAAGCCTTTAATTAAACAAATATTTCATAATGTAAGTCTAAATGAACAGTGCGGAAATAATATACAAGCCCGATATCGGGAAGTCACAAGTCACGAGCATCTACTAAGGTTTGAATACAACGAAAAGTCTGAAAATATACTAAATACAGTCTAATAAAAACAAGAGGGAGAAAAGCAAATGCTGAGAACGCCGGGCAGCTACCTTGCTAAACTCTGATGACTCTACCTTTGAGCAATCAACTCCCGCTACCGGGTTAGAAAATGCCTGAATCTGCACATAAGGTGCAGGGAGTAATGTGAGTACTCCAACTCAGTAAGTAATAAAGGTAAATGAAAGCTAAGCAGTAAGAAAACATGTAAACCATGTCAAAATGCTACAACAAAGGAAAGATAGTTCCGACACAGTACAGAAATCATTTACTTCGTAAATCATGCTCAGTTCCGGTAAAAACCTTTTAAAATAAATTTTCAATAGTTTCAAACGAGTTATAAAACAGTGAGTAAACATGATAGAAATGCAAGTAGCCCCTTGGGCAAAACATGTATCATAAATCGCCTCTCAGGCATAATATCAACAAAACCATCCCCTCGGGCTACCTCACAATCACTCATAATCAGCCCCTCGGGCATAACATAAATCAAGAACCACCCCTTCGGCAATAACATGGAATAACATCAACCCCTCAGGCTATATCACATATCACACTGGGTACCCGCGCTCACTGGAGGTGTACAGACTTCGGGAGGGGCCCCTTACGGCCTAAGCGCAATATTAAGCCATCTCATGGCATAATCAAACAGGCTCTCGGCCTCATATCAAGCCACCTCGTGGCGTAACAAATCAGGCCCTAGACCTCATAATCATAAATTGGTACCACACTGCTGCGGTGCACAGTCCGGTCCCATAATATCCTCACAACTCAAGCCCTCGGCCTCACTTAGTCAAAAATCTCTCAAGCCACTCAAGCAATAGTAACACATGATGCTCAAACCAAAATATCATTTAAAATGTCAAAAACGGAGTAAAAATGGCTGAGTTATGAAAACAGTAGATAATAGCATGACTGAGTACAAGTATAAAGTCAAAACAGTGAGGAATAATAGTAAAACAAATCCCCTAAGGGTCCAAAACAGTTGGTACGAGGCCCAAATATGGCATTCAGCCCAAAACATGATGATAGCAAACAGTTTTCAATCAAATACGCATTAAAATAGTCATTCGGGATGGACTAAGTCTCAGTCCCCAATAGTGTACGACCCCACGCACGTCATCTAGCATGTGCGTCACCTCAATATAGCACAACAATGTAAAATCCGGGGTTTCATACCCTCAGGACAATATTTACAATCATTACTTACCTCTATCCGGTCTAAACTGTAGCTCGCGGTGCCTTTGCCTCTCGAATCAGTCTCCAATTTCTCCGAATCTAACCAAAATTAGTTCCACATCATTAATACACGCTAAAGGAACAAAGCCTAAGCAAAAATAATCGAATTAACTCAAAAATCCTGAAATTGGCCAAACCCGACCCCCGGGACTGCATCTCAGAATCCGATAAAAATTACATCAATAGAATCCTCATCCTCCAAAGAGTCTATACATACCAAGAACATCAAAATCGGACCTCAAATGGCCCCTCAATTTCCCAATTTACACTCTCCAATTCAAGCCCTAATTCCTCAATTTTAGGCTTTAATTTCCATATATTTCATATTTAAACAAGTAAGAATCAACATAAGATCGAGTATTGAGTTCAAAAATCTTACCTCCAAGTGTTTCCCTTTGATTCCCTCTTCAATTCTTCTCAAAATGCTCCAAAATCGCTCAAAATGGGGAAAGTTAGACCCAAAATCGCGGACAATGGCTATTTAAACATTCTGCCCAGGACAAAAATTCCTTCTTCGCAAACGCGGTCAAAGCCTCGTGTTTTCAAAGCACAAAAAAATTCACAGCTCAATTTTGCTCTTACGTGAACGCGAACACACCCTCGCGAACGCGATGCCTTACTCAGCTTAGCCTACGCGAACGCATTACCTCAGTCGCGAATGCAATGCTCAATCAGACTCAACCTTTGCGAATGTGGGACCAACATCACGAATGCGAAAGGTAATTGATCTACCTCATTCAACGTCTCTTCACGAATGCGTGAGCCCTCTTGCAAACGTGAAGAGCAAAACTTTGCAACACTAATCTGAAGAAATCTACAACTTTCAAAACAAGAATTTGATCCGTTTAACCACCCGAAACTCACCCGAGGCCCTAGGGACCTCAACTAAACATGCCAACATATCTTATAACCTCATTCAAACTTGTTCCAACCTTTGGAACGCTCAAAAAACATCAGAACACCAAAATCACATCGGATTCAAGCTTAAGAATTCCAAGAACTTCCAAATTCTGCTTTCGATCAAAAAGTATACCAAACCTCGTCTGAATCACCTTAAATTTTGCATACACGTCACAAATGACACAATGGACCTACTCCAATTTTCGGAATTCCATTCCGACCCCTATATCAAAATCTCACCTATCAACCAGAAAATGCCAAAATTCCAATTTCGCCAATTCAAGCCTAACTCTATTCCGGACCTTCAAAACACATTCCGACCACGCTCCTAAGTCCCAAATCACCTAATGGATCTAACCAAATCATAAAAATTCCAATCCGAGGTCATCCACTAAAAAGTTAAATCTTGGTCAAACCTTTCAAATTTTAAGCTTCAAACTGAGAACTGTTCTTCAAAATTCATTCCGGTTACCCTGAAAACCAAAACCGACGATTTACATAAGTCATAATACATAACACGGGGCTAGACATGCCCGAGAACTGGTGAGCAAAGTGCAAAATCTCAAAACGACCGGTCGGGTCATTACATGACCGAAGTTTTGTGTGATAATGTGAAGTAATTCATTGGCACCAAGGTAAACAAATTTTTCGAAGATAACAAGATTAAAAAGATACTATCAACACCTTACCACCCTAGTGGGAACATACATGAGGAGTCAAAAAACAACACCATACTTCAAAACCTGAAAATGAGGTTGAGTGATGCCAAAGGGAAATGGAAAGAAATCTTGCCCGAAGTCCTATGGGGATATCGTACAACCTCGAAGTCCAGTACTGGGCCACTCCATTTTCGCTGGTCTACGGAGCCGAAGCCTTGATACCAGTCAAGGTGGGAGAGCCGAGCCTCAGATTCCAATATGCAATCGAAGAGTCAAATGGGAAAGCCATGGTCACGAGCCTAGAACTATTGGATGAAAGGCGTGAGGCAACTTTAGTCCAGTTGGCCGCCCAGAAACATCGGAGAGAAAAATACTACAACTGAAGAGCCAACCTCCGACACTTCAAGATCGGGGACTTGGTGTTGAGGAAAGTAATATTACATACTCGGAACCCAAATAAGGTAAAACTGGGATCAACCGAGAAGGACCGTATCGAGTCATCGGAATTATCGGCAAAGGTTCATACAAACTCGAAGCGGGAAACTGTGTGCAACTACCAAACAATTAGAACGTGATGCACTTAAAATAGTACTACTACTAAGGTACGATCTCAACTACTCTTTAATCATGTTATGAATCGAACTAACACTTGCAGGCAATGCTCTAGAATGGATGTGGCTATTAGGTCTGAAAGCACGTATTGCACTCTTTTTTTCTTGAATCGGTTTTGTCCCAAAATGGGGTTTTCAGCAAGATTTTTAACAAGGCAATAATAAAATGTACTAACTTAGATTCGAAGGCCAGTCTCCAAATGGATTCAACGAGCGTTCACTTTGCATCAACAATATCTGAGCCCTCTCAAGTTCGACCTCAGATATTGGGGGCCATTACCTTCGGATTAAGGTTTTCCGCAAAGGAAAATTTAGCAAAGAAAAAAGGAAAACTTTGTATGCTAGAAGCTAAGGCTCGGTGGTTAGGATTCATTATAAGGACCAAACGGTCATGTGAACCGTGCCCACATAGTCCACTTTATCTATGACATAAGCTTTTATGCATTTTCGATCATGTACTTTACACACAGAAATGAAAGAAAATTCTGCCTTACTGTTACACATTTTCTTGACTCTTAAATTTCAGATCCTAAGAACCCACGGGCTACCCCTATTCGGGGACTATCGAGCCCAAGGGCTACCCTCACTCGGGGACTGATGTCAAAAAAAAGTTCAGACAATTCGGGCTACTAAATCCAAGAGGCACCAAACTTATTAGGCAATGTCTAAATACAAAAGGCTATGCCGCCCTAAAAACAGCTCGGAGACATCCGAAGCTCGTAATCACTTTCATAAAAATTCAAAACTTGCTAAAAGGTGACACTTGGCAAATGCATCATCTAAAATCACTTAAGCATCTTGAAAAAACTTTCGGTCACATCAAGTTTTCAAAGCCTCGAACAAACAAAGTTGTATCGAAGCTAGGCTCCGTTCGAACCTCTAAAATTGAACGCCATATAACTATATTTGATTCTATGCTAAGGCATTAGAAATATTGCAAGAATAGAAATTATGAAAAGATGTTGAAAAAGTAAAGACTCGAAATTGCCAGAAAGGGAAAACTTTATATATATTCCGGAATATACTTACAAAGCTCCAATTAAAACAGCCTCTAAATAAACAAAAAATATGCATAAGACAAACACTAAAATAGTACTAAGGCATCTAAGCCTAATCTTCACTAGGGCCCAACTCGTCGCCGGAGTCGTGAGAACCTTCGGATCCCTCCGAGCCCTCAGAGCCCTCAAAGCCTTCGGCACCTTCAGGCTCTAAATCTTCTTTGCCTCGGCCTTGGATTGTTTGGCGTCCTCAATCTCAACCGACAGGTCAAAACCTCGGACGTGGATCTATTCGAGGGTCTCTTTTCAGGATAGCCGTTTCATATATTTAGCCTTTACCTTCAGGCAGACTTCAGCTGGCTCCACATCGACCTTGTATTGGGCCACTATTTCGTTGGCATCGGTGGAGGTTGTATCCAACTTGGATTTCACTTCCTCATATTCTCTACCGTGGGCATCCCGCTCTACGACAGTCATGCTCAATTGTGCTCGGAGATCATCATTCAACTGAGACCACTTGTCAGCTTTGTCCTTCACCACCCAGAGCTTGACCTCTATCGATGCCCACTTCACCTTGACAGTTTCCTTTTCCGAAGCCAGCAGATCCATTTTGCTTTTTCACCCATCGGCCATGGCTTGGACCTCTTTCATCTCGACTCAAAGTTGGTCGATCATCTGTTGTACCTACGAGGTTTTGTTATTAGTTACCACGACTAGCTCCTCGTTTTTAGCTTCAAATACCTTTACCTTTTCAACCAGGTAAGCATGTTCCTACTGCCACACCTCCTTTTTACCACCCGATGAGGGTATATAAGAGAGTTTTTCCAATTAAAGTGACATTATTCAAGATGAGATTATTTTATTTAATTTTATCAGAGTCGTCACTTGGAAAAATTTATGGTGTCCCAAGTCACAGGTTTATTTTAAAATCCTAAATTGAGGAAAATCGATTTTATTTAAATATCTGCGAACCAGAAATTCTAGATAAGGAATTCTGTTAACCCGGGAGAAGGTGTTAGGCATTCCCGGGTTCCGTGGTTCTAGCATGGTCGCTTAAACTATTAAACTTAGCCTATTATCCGATTTATTACATGTTTTAACCTATGGTGCATTTTAGCTTAGAACCGCTTTTAATTATTTTAAAAATTACTTTTAAGGAAAATTCAATGTTATTTAAAACACGTCTTAAACCACGCTTATGAAATGCATCCGCGACTCATGACACGTTCTATTTAACATTGTTGAGAAATTGAAATTGGGTTACATAAAATGTACACCCGGATTTAAAAATCACAACTACGTCATGGGAATCGTACCCATAGCTATGATTGAATTAATTAAAGAACGCGCCTAAAGCAACTACGAAAGTTTAAATCAACAACATTTATGAGGGCTATAGAGAGTTTAATTGATGGCACACCTCAATTTTTACAAGGACTGAATTAATTTCATGAGGGCCAAGGGTTTTATTTGGCATGACACACCTCAATTGATTTCAAAGGGTTTTATTATTCGAAGTTGTTATAATCGGGTCACATGAAATGCACCCCTGAATTTGGAAATTAGTATCATGACTATGTCACGAGAACCGTACCCATAATCACAATGATTTGTGGTTATATATCTATGTGACGAGTTAGACAGTTGTTGCAGATTTAAAGAATGGGTAGAGTTTATTCTACTAACAAATTAAGTTTTACATGAGATAATTCATAATTTAAAACAATACTAGAGTAGACAAAGGTTCTGACTTTGGAATTTCATTGCCACTAGTCAGAAAAAGATATTTTTCATGTGTGTTTCAAGTGCCAAATGCACATTACTATCATAAAAATAAAAGCCATGGCAATAGGCACCCATGCTCCTTCCAAAAACTTAATCAAAGAATCAGAGAAATATAAAGCCTCAATTGTCCCAAAGAATATCACAAAGCAAATTGCGAGGGGAACACTCTGGTGCCAGCACAAAACAATTACCAATGATATCAAGCAAGTGGTGACCAGCATGACAGTTATGATAGCTAAACCTGATGCGAAGGGGAAATTTTAGGGATGAGGGATATATTAGACCACTTCATAAACAAGTGGAAAACAGAATTTCTAAACAAACGAATATATGCATGCACAAGAGATGGAGAATCCATAGCAAAATTAAACATGAAAACAGGTCCAAATGATTTCAACCCAAAAGAATTTTGCTATTATTTTTGAACAAGATTAAAGCCATACCTGCAGCATTTCCCATCCTTCTGGTGTCTCTGAAACCAATAGTAACAGCCAAACATAGTAGCATTAGGGGTCATTTGGTATGAGGTATAAGAAGGTATAAGGGTGGTATAAAAATTGAATACCACCTTAATATTCTGTTTGGTTAGCAAACCAGGTATAACACCGAGATAACTTATACCTTATAGAAGGTGGGTAATTAGCACCGGTATAACTTATATTTTCTTCTTAGAAATTATGCAATTGTCATTCTTAATACAACATACCAAACAATAAATAAACAACAATCCCAACATAACTAATCCCAGCATAACTTATCCCAACATAACTTATATCGGCATAACTTATACTGGTATAAATCGCATTCGAACCAAACGACCCCTTAAGGTCCAGTTAATCTCTGGGATGTAAATCTGACCATGTATTGTTGACGATGTATGCAGTATTTTGACTCTCGGGAAGCATCCCAGCGCAGAGCATTGTTTAATAATTGAAAAGGTTCCAGTGATAATGGCTTGGCTCCCACTACTGCAGCCAGTACAACAATTACCAGAACCGGCCATCTTAATTTTTCAGGTATTGAAACGTAGAAGCCAATATGCTAGTCACTCTCCATCACATGATGTCGCGATAGATAAGCAGCTTTCCCCGTATACACAAGAATAAGTGATGGATAAACTATAGAGGTAAAAGCAATCTTTATTGAGAACTGAGAGAAGTGTCCGAGATCAGCAAACATTGCTTCTGAACCTCGTAAGCCAAAATCTTTTCAATAGAGAAGAAAAAATCCAAAGGTACAACAACACTTGATAGTGGCGAAACCAACAAAATTCACCCAAATAGAGCTTAAAAAACGTGAAAATGGAGCCCACCTACTTTGCAATAACAACAATAGCGAGTTTTAACTTTAGGCGACCGTTCCTCTCTCGTTTTTGGCGAGTTCGTCGGTGATGGAGTTTTTAGGACTGGTTTTGTCCAGCTTTCATGGTGATTAGCGAAGAAGATGAAAGCAGAAAAGGGAAGGAGAAATGGCTAGTGTTCTTGTTCTTTTGAAGAAGGAGTTCGATTATTATCTCCCTCTTTGGAGAAGAACGAAGCGCCGTTTGCTCTCTAAGGGATGGGTCTATGATCTGATGTGTATATAATTTGAAGCTTGATTTTTAGGTCTTAGCTTCTTTTATCAGATAAGGGTAAAGGGGAATGGGCTTGGGTTGAAGGATTGGACTTGGGTTAATTAATTGGGGTCAATTTGAGGATTGACCCAATTTTGAATAAACAAGACCAAACATTTTTTTTCCTATTTTCTTCTATTTATTTTTCCCTTTTTCTTTTCTTTAATTAATTAAAAACCTAAATTTAAGCTATTTTTTGTAGAAATTAAAATTCTTTATATATTAAAACAAATAATTAACTCAAAACTAAGTAAAAACACTAATTTCTAAAGACTAAAAGCTAAATATGTAAAAATGACTATTTTTTGTGATTTTTTCCTTAATAATGCAATTAACTCAATGTAATTAATTCCTACATGCAAATTGAACCTAAGATGGTATGAAATTAAATGTAACAAATTTTATGATTTTTTTTATGATTTTAAAATATTAAAAATGCATGAAATGCAACTAAATAAAGAAAAACTCCTAAAATCAATTAAAATTAATTTTGGTCTATTTTTAGGAGCTGTTTTCATATAGGGCAAAAATTAGGTGCTCACAGCTGCCCCTCTTTGCTCGAAAATATGAAGAGTTTTCGGGCAAAGATAAAGTGAGCAATTACGAGCAATTTTTGCCAGTTTGAAACTACATTTGGAAGCATTTTGAAAAAGTTTGACCGAACGTTGCTTCAGAGGTTGCCTATATATCCTTGGCTATAAAGGAATTAGGTCGGTGTAGTTCTGAAAGTTTTGGTAGCTGGGACTATCGAAGAACTGTGATTTCACTGCTGTTGCTGCTGTTTCTGTTTGCTGAGCTCCTTATTACACCAAAAAGCTAAACTAGCTAAGCCTATCAACTACAAGTTACAAGATTCCTATCTATAAACCTTCATAAACTTGATCTTGAGTCTTGGTCAGTTCTTCCCGAAGACTCTGATCTGAATCTTAATGCTCGTTAGTTGCAACTGCTGATTCCTTCTTCTTCCAGCTTTTTGGATCAAGGCGAGACTTAGAAAGCTTGTGACTTCAATCACATTTTGAGTAGTCCGCATCTTTTCTCCGCTTCTACACTTAGAATTTAACTTCTTTTCTTGTTCTTCTTTTCTTTTATTTGGGTTGAGACTTCTTCTTTTGGTCATCTCAAACCTTGCGCCTCACGGTAAAACCTGTTCAGGCACCAAAGCAAACGAACGAATAAAATTTTCTGCCCTAGTTTTCACTAGGAAAATTTCGTGAGTTATTGTAACAAAAATCTAAACTATTTCTTTATTGAAAGCAATTAAAATCGGGATTGGGTATCCTTGGGAAAAAAATTAGGGAGTGGAGCCCTATATCTATGCTAAAATCAACTAGGGAGTGGAGACCCTATATTGGAAAATGACTAGGGAGTGGAGACCCTATATCTAAAATAAAATCAACTAGGGAGTGGAGACCCTATATCTAAAATAAAATCAACTAGGGAGTGGAGACCCTATGCTGGAAAAATGACTAGGGAGGGGAGACCCTATGTCTAAAATAAATGCAACTAGGGAGTGGAGACCCTATGTTGGAAAGACGACTAGGGAAAGGAGACTCTATGTCTAAAAATAAACTCAACTAGGTAGTGAAAATCCTATGTTGGAAAAGCGACTAGGGAGTGGAGACCCTATGTCTAAAAATAAACTCAACTAGGGAATAAAGACCCTATGTTGGAAAAGCGACTAGGGAGTGGGGACCCTATGTCTAAAATAAACTCAACTAGGGAGTGGAGACACTATGTTGGAAAGGAGACTAGGGAGTGGAGACCATATGTCTAAAAATAAACGCAACTAGGGAGTAGAGTCCCTATGTTGGAAAAGGGACTAAGGTGTGGAGACCCTATGTCTAAAATAAACTCAACTAGGGAGTGGAGACCCTATGTTGGAAAGGCGAGTAGGGAGTGGAGACCCTATGTTGGAAAAGGGACTAGGGAGTGGAGACCCTATGTCTAAAATAAAACTCAACTAGGGAGCGAAGACCCTATGTTGGAAAGGCGACTAGGGAGTGGAGACCCTATGTCTAAAAATAAACTCAACTAGGGAGTGGATACCTTATGTTGGAAAGGCGACCAGGGAGTGGAGACCCTATGTCTAAAATAAACGCAACTAGGGAGTGGAGATCCTATGTCTAAAAATAAACGCAACTAGGGAGTGGAGACCCTATGTTAGAAAGGCGACTAGGGAGTGGGGACCCTATGTCTAAAAATAAACGCAACTAGGGAGTGGAGACCATATATTAGAAAAATGTAACTAGAGATTGGGGATCCTAGGCTACCATTTTTGAATTTTCTTCTGATCTATTTTTTTTATTTCAAAGAATGAGTGAATGCGAGAAAGAATTTGGGAGGGGACTTTCCTTTTATGGATTGTTGCTGCAGAGTTGTTTCTAGCCCTTGCGCACTTTCTCTTTGGTTGCACCTACTTCTTGCAAGGTTGCTTCGGATTGCACCTATTTCATGTTTTCAAACAAAAAATAATTGTTAGTTTGAAACGGTGGTTGGTTTTGTGGCCTTGATTGTTTCAATCACTTGATCTAGGCCCGACTTCTTTGATGAAGATCTCAATTGCAACTGCTAGTTTCCTGGGGACCGATTTCATTTCAGGCCCTGAGAATCTCTGGTTTTTTCCAGATTTTGCCATGATGGTTGGTCGGTGGAACTCAACCTTTTCGACTTTATTCTAACTTTATAGGCCTTTCACTTTTGACTTGTTGTTTCTCTTCTTCTTTTTTTCTTTTTTTTCTTTGTTTTTAACCATTCGAAGCATAAGGGAACTTTTGGCTTCTCAAACTTACTGCAACGGCTAGTTGCGTGAGACTTAACCTTTTCCAACTTTATTTCGCCTTTATAGGCCTTTCTTTTCTGGCTTCTTTCTTCCAACTTCAATTTCAGAGCATTTGGGGTACCTTCGCTTTTTCAAATATTTCCCGAGACGGTTAGCCACGTGGGACTCAACCTTTTCAACTTCCAAGAGTTTTTAATTTCAAAACATCAGCCACCATGGCCGGTCGAAGTCTCCTTGATGCCCTTGCCAAGGCTGGGTGTCTTCTTGTACATTAGCTCGTGTCAAATGAGAACCTATAAATCAGTCTTGCCATCCCTTCTTTGTCTCAGTTCTGGAATAGAGTTAGACCGAAATGGATTCAAAGAAAAATAAACAATGGACATGATGATGAATTTAAAACAAGTAGTGTCCCTTTCGGGGAAAGGAAAGAAGGACTTATCTGAGGTACATGCAGACTTCAATGAACATGACATGCCTTTTGGACTGGATGCCTGATCTGTGTAAACCGTCCGACTCTCAGAAATTCATCACAACTTTTGCCTCAAAATCGAGAAACCTTGCCAGGACTCTGTCGGTGCCAATGGCTGCGAGGATCCTCTTTTCGATCAAGGACGCCCTTTGCGGGTCTTCACAAGTTGACCTCACTCATTTCTCTTCTCACCATCGCCTTATAGTTCTCTTTGCGAGTTTTAACTAACAAGACTCTCTCATTTCAATTTCTCTGCTTACTGTCGCCTCACGGTGCCCATGTGAGTTTTCACCAATAAGACTCTCTCATTTTATTTTTCTCATTTTGATTGTATCGGATCCTAATAACTGTATTCTTCAGTCCTTGAACATTCTCACCGATTGATCGGAAGGACTTGAACAGGATTTGGGTAAATAAAAGGATTTGGATTGAATTACAACTTTAGAACCTTTTGGGCGGGATCATCGTCGAACCATTATAACATCTGCCCTAGTTTCGCTTTTTGAGGGTTTTTTATTTTAGTGTGATTGAACCCCAAAGAGAGGCTGCCTACGTATCCTTTCGGAATCAAGTTGAACGTAGTTCAGGGAACTTTGTTTTGGATTTTCT